GTGGGATAGAGTACCCAGTGCAGTGTGCTCAGTGGTATATACTGCAGTGTAGTCGGTCATCAAGAACCCATGCAGAATGTCCACATACTGTGCAGAGTATGCATACTAAATAGTGGGATTTAGTATGTGTTAGTATGCAATTGTGAACACAGCCAGAATCAATGTAGGTAGCAGCACACTTCGTATGCAGTGCAGTATATACTGCAGTGTAGTAAGTCATTCAGGTACTAATGCAGAGCGTCCATATAGTGTGCAGAGCATGCATACTAAATCGTGTGATTAGTATGATAGTGTGTGATTGTGAATCAGTGCACGCTGCAGGTGTTTGCTCACTGGACGCCAGCAGATTCAGCAAACACGCGTGAGTGTTTTTATCTCCACACTGAACGACTGCGCTCACTTTATCTCTTTTTTATGCACTTTGTTGTTATCTCTCGCACACTTGAGCTGAGGAAGTGTAAATCTTGTCCCATGTTTGTCCAGTGATTGATGAGGCTGAAGGCAGATGCTTCATTCCAGTATCATGTCTGTGAGTGTATTATTCCTCTTACTCTTAAAGGAGCAGTTCATGCAGAAATGAAACAGCTGCTGTCATCTGCTGATGTCACACGGCTTGCTTTCCTCTGGCAGTGTTTTACTGTATGTTGCTGGTGTTGTGCTGTAGTGTTGTAGCAGCGGTTCATGTTCTTTGTGTCCTGATGTTAAACACACGCTGCACTGTTGAAGAAAAGCAGTGAATTACATTGAATCACTGAACCTTTATTTACATTTACATTTACATTTAGTCATTTAGCAGACGCTTTTATCCAAAGCGACTTACAATTGGGATCCAAATATACAAATGAAACAGTAACGTATTATAATGTTGGTCCACACAGCAACTAGATCTTTAAATGTGAGCAGAGCGAGAGACTCATCTAGATCAACTTTGAATAAAGAAAAAGAGATTTAGAGCCAGATTTTTGATTATGTATGTGAAATTTAGCTATCAGGAAACACAAATGAATGAAGTTATATTCTCCTGTGTTCTCTTTTGAGTAGTCAAACAATCCACAGAAGACATATTTCTGTGTTATTTCTTTGTTATCTTTCTTTGTTATTTTTTAACATTCCTTCATTACTCCCGTTATTACACTTCTTTTTTCAACATGCTGTCCCAACAGCACATTAATATGCAAATTAGGTACAGTGTATAGATAACATTGTGTTTAATGGGAAAACCTGTTTATGGACATTTTACACACATATTGCATAAAGTAAAATGGTATATCAAATCATTCTCTTATATCTTTCATAATATAGTTGAGAATCATTTTTATACAAAGTTTGGTGTAAAAAAAAATCCTGAAACCTAAAAATTGATTGGTGATTTTATAAAAATCCCATTGTTTTTGCCTTTTCATGTTTATTCATGTCATTTTTTTTTTTTAGAGTCCTCGTGGCATAACATGGCATAACATTTGAATAAAATATAATTTTTCAAAAATGTTATTTTTCCATTTTTTTCTCATGCTCTAAACAATGTAATGACACGAAAAAAATACTATACAATTTTCAGAGATATCAAATGTTTGGAGATAAACACATTTTAAATATGACTGATATCGACAGAATGATCAAATTTAGCACTCTTAGGGAAATATGATTATGTTTTGTAATTATCATTTAAATCTGGCTAATTTTGAAAATTGTTTGTCGTTAATAAACATCAAATGTTATGGGGTTTCTAAATCGGAATATGACTTTTTGTTACGAAACAGGGCATAATTTTCACACGTCCACTGTAGAGGACTGTTAATCAGGCATTTTGGGGAGACACAACAAGAAATTATAGATCAATATTCCTATGAAATATGAGATATTCTTATGAAAATGTTGCCACGATATTACTCCCATTATTACACTTCTTTTTCATTATGGTTTGCCGCAGGAACACATTAATATGCAAATTAGATGCAGTGTAGATACATTGTATAGAATGGGAATACCAATTTATGAACATTTTACACACACATATCATAAAGTACAATAGTATATCAGATAATTCTGTTATATCTTTCATATCATAGTTCAGAATCATCTTTGTACAAAGTTTGGCTAAAAATAGGCTGAAACCTAAAAACTGATTGGTGAATGAAAAAATAAAACTGTTTTTGCCTTTTCATGTCTATTTTTTATTGTTTTTTTAATAACAGTCCTGGCGTCCTCTACAAAGGACATAGAATAAAATATCTTTTTAAAAAAAAAATATTTTTTTTCTCCATTTGTTTCTTATGCTCCAACCAACGTAATGACAAAAAAAAACTTTTTTTCTGGGTCTTACTTACATGTTTAAACATTATTATTAATTTTGTAATTTTATTATTCTCATGACTTTATAAAGTTATTTTATTGAAATTAGCATGAGGACAGCATAACAAATTCTGCAATATTTAAATACTTTACAATTTATTTTAAAATAACTATCAATAAATACACAATATATACATTAAAGTAATCGAAAAAATAAACATTAATTAAAAGTGAATAAATAAATAAGATTTTTCAAATGTTTTTGAAAGAAGTCTAGTGCATTTATTATATTCTGAATTATTTTTACGTCAAATAACTGTTTTCTATGTGAACATATTTTAAATCGTAATTTATTCCAGTGAGTTAAAGCTGCATTTATTTGATAAAAAATACAGTAAAAACAGTGAAATATTATTAAAATGTAAAACAGCTGTTTTCTATGTGAATATCTGTTAAACTGTAATTTATTCCTGGGATCAAAGCTGAATTTTCAGCATCATTACTCCAGTTTTCAGCATCACACGATCCTGAAATAAAATAAATGATAATCATTTTTTGGCATCACAGCAGTGAGTTGGGAGATGAATGAAGAATCTGGCACTAAAATAGAGTTCACTTCATTAAACAAAATATCATTTTGATGAAATATGTAAATTTTTTCACTCTCATCATATTTCTGTGATTTGATTATTCCCGGTTGCTCACATTCAACTGAACTGCAGTATTTCGCAGAACTTTAAGATTTGCATCATGTAAATTCAGTTTATTTAATTTTTTTATTTTCATCTTCAGCTCTCTGTGGCTGAGCTTTTTTGTGAGCTGCACATCAGTTTCCGACACGTGGCACAGAATAACAATCGACAACATTCTGATATATTTTTCTTTACTGATGCTTCTATACATAATGCATATGTACAATAATAAGTTATATATACAGTTGTATGGTTGTGTTTGTTGCATTGATTCAGGAGCTCTGCTAGAAACGTGCGGATGAGGTTGGCGTGGCCTTTAACATAAAATAAAATGCATTGTTTGTTGATATACAGTATATATATTACCGTGGGACGTGAGGAAGGGTAAACAAACATGATGCAACAACAAAAAAAGCCAAAAACAGTATTTGAAGTGGTTCTGCATGCATACTGTATGTGTTTGTTCAGGAGACCGGCTCCATTCATCCACAGTTTCTGACGTTCCTGACATTCCCTGTAAACGTCTGACAGTAACTTTCTGAGAGATGAAGCCTCAAACACGAGCTGTGAGCCGGTCAGAAACACACACAGAGAGTCATGAAGCGTGTGTCTGAGAGAGTGTCAGGTCATTACAGTGGCTCGCTGAGTCTGCCTTCTGCATGCAGTTAAAGGTTTACACAGCTGCCTCTGCTTCCCATCGGACTCTTTACGGCTTTTCCGTTTGCATTATTAGTTAATGAGGTGCTGGAAGTCACAGGCGCTTTACACTCAGAGTCATAAAACACCAATTCTAGACAATTAGTCCAGCAGCAGCGGCTCGCCACGGGGCACACACACACTCACTCGCACACACACACACACTCTCTCTCACACACACACACACTCTCTCTCACACACACACACACTCTCTCTCACACACACACACACTCTCTCTCACACACACACACACTCTCTCTCACACACACACACACTCTCTCTCACACACACACACACTCTCTCTCACACACACACACACTCTCTCTCACACACACACACACTCTCTCTCACACACACACACACACGTATTCATACACACACACACACGCACACACGCACGCACACACACACACACACACTCACGCACACACACACACACTCACACTCACACTCACACACACACACACACACACACGTATTCACTGATTTATACAACATTTTACTCCTAAAAACATGGTGAAGATGTGTTTGTTTTCTGTCTGTTGACAGTATTTCCTGATTTATGGAGCGATAAAAAGAGAAATCCACAATCCTCACGCGACACTTTTCCATGTTAATCGCAGTTTTTGTCCTAACCAGCTGCGACACGCAAACTTTCTATTTTAGAAACAGTTTCTACTTCTGCGATGCCGCGGCTGGAACAACGACATACAAACTATGATGATGATAAACTCATGTACTGATTATGTGCTTCATTCAGTGTTGCTGCTGTGGACACGGTGTGATATGACCGCAAAATCCAACAAGAATTTTGAACCTGGATTTATGCAATGCTCAGATTTATGTCCTGGATATGAATGCAAATGAGTGCATATTTAATGAGATGATGCCTTATTTGCATATTTAAACAAGATTTCAGAAAACTTTTTGTTTTAATGTACTGTGATTAATCAACTGGTGCGGTATAGTGACATCGATTAGTTAAGTTAACCCTGTAGTGTCTTGCCTTAAAACAGATCGTTAGAGCATTTAATGAACTTGAGCTCACTCAGACTCAGGTCACTGTAAAATCTCTTGTGGAAACACTGAGAATAAAACACATTCTTGCGTCGCATTATTAATGCAACCGTGTGTGAAATCAGTCTGCTGCGGCTCGAACTGTCTGTTCACGTGTAGAAACGTTTGAGAGCTTGAAATATGATCGCTCGCATTTCCTCCATCTGTTATCAGAAATCAACAGCGTCGCAGTGAAGGCGTCCGTCACGAGTTCATCTGTGAACAACAGTCACAGAAATACACAGATGGTCTGCGGAGGTTCTGTCAGACGCTGGCGCAGCGGGAGGTGAGATTGGGATGGTGGCTGGATGGAGGGACGCTGTTCTCGGGGCCCAGAATGTCGAAGCAGAGGGTCTCGACGGCATCCAGCCGCTCGATCTGGACCAGACGGGTCAGCAGGTCCGGGATGCTGTATCCCGCCGTACTGATGCGGTCGAACAGCTGCATGCCGTCCGTCATGCCTCCGATCTCGTCGCGCTTGAGGCCGAAGCTCTCGGCGAGGTGCCTCCACGTCTTCACCACTGCCTTGTCCGTGCTGTAGGTGGCGCTGAGCATGCGGCTGCTGCGCTCCAGACAGTCGAACGGCAGCTCGGTCGGACTCAGACCTGCGCAGATGAACATCATCATGAGTTACACTAGGAGTAAAAAATCGTTATCAGGAAAGACGTTCATGTGCAGGGTTTATGACGACCAACACACTACCAGAACTAACGAAAATCCTTAAAATCAGAAAATTAAATTGTGAATTATTTTTTATTTATTATTACATGCATTTCTTAAAAAATTATTTAAATGTATCTATTTTTTTAAAATACCTAGCAGAACTGTTTATTGTATTTTTTAAATTTAAATTAAATACATTTAAACTTAAATTAATTTTAATTTAAATAATAATACCACCAGAATTGTTTCTTAAGCAAAAGTAGCAAAAATCTGATCGAAAATAAAAATATATATTTTTATTATTATCTTCTTTATTTTATAATCAAATGAATTTAAAATGTAAAAATATTTAAAATACATTAAATGCATCTATTTTTAAAAATGCCTAGCAGAACTGTTTATTGCATAAAAATAATATTTTTTAAATTTTTTTAAAATTTAAATTAAATTAATTTAAACTTAAATTAATTTTAATTTAAATAATAATAATAATAATAATAATACCAGAATTGTTTCTTAAGCAAAAGAAACAAAAATCTGATCCAAAATAAAAAAATATATTTTTATTATTATCTTTTATATTTATTATTTTATCATCAAATGCATTTAAAATGTAAAAATATTTAAAATAAAAAACAAAACTAATAAAATTTAATTAAAAATAAATGTAATAATAACAGAACTGTTAAACATTTATTTATTATTATTATTTTTAAATATATAATAATAATAGTACCAAAACTGATTACTGTACAAAAATAACAGAAATCTCCATAAAATTTTAAAATCCTTAAAATTGTAATTATTTATTATTTTATTATTACATTTATTAAGTCAATAATTCTCCCAGAACCTATTGTGTTCAAGTAAGCCATGTTTATTCTCACTGTAAGTGAACTCATACTTAACCTTGCGTATTTTTGATCATCTTCTATTAAGTGATGAGTTTGTGTCAAACATTGAGTTTGATTGACTGAACACATCAACAACAGCAGATCTGTGAGAAGTTTCTCCTCCCTTTTAAAGGGGTCATATGATGCGATTTCAATTGTTCCTTTCTCTTTGGACAAGTGTTTATTTTAATTGTCTATGATTATATGGGTCCCATCAGAACAGTCCATTAGGATAAACAATGCTAACATATATTTGATTTGACATCATTTCAATGATATGAAATCAATATTTTGGATGATTTTTGTAATCATGAATTCATGGTTACGGTTACACTCACCCTCCGCAACACTGCAGGCTTTTGTGTACAAATCCAGGATCTTTTTCCTTCTGCTGTGAATCTGCAGAAACGGGAAATGTTTGGAAGAGTCACACGGAGCAACAGAGATCAGTCTGAATCTACAATAACAAGATCAGATGGAAAGCAGACACTCTAATGCTGAAAAACTCAACAACAGCGTCCAAGAACAGAACACTCAATGTAAATAAATGCTGTTCTTTTGAACTTTCTATTCATCTGTGAATCCTGCAAAATAAAATGTATCACGGTTTCCACAAAAATATTCATCAGCACAACTGTTTTCAACATTGATAATAATCAGAAATGTTTCTTGAGCAGCAAATCAGATGTTTACTGTATATTTAATCAAATAAACGCAGTCTTGGTGAGAAGACAAGGCTTCTTAATCCTAATGATTCCAGACTTCAGTGTAACTGACTGTAATATACATGCAGTGGTGTAAAGTATTTGAATAAATGTAATTAGTTACTGTACTTGAGTATCTTTTTGGCTACTTTGTAGTTTTACTGCGTATCAAAGGCATTAGCAACTTTTACTCTCTACTTCACTAACAGGTATATGTACTCTTTACTCCAATACATGTGTAATGAGTCATGCAATTACTCATTACATTTTGCACGGCACCTAACCTTTTCTGCAGCAGTTTATTTCTGCTACAAAAGACACAATATTGCCATGTACAGGGCATTAAAGGTACTATATCTTGTGAGTTTTGCTTTTACTCAATGACACTTGTAAACAAGGCTTCTTTATGTGAATGCGAGTGCATTAGCAGGTAAATTGCGGCTGAAACCAGCACGTCTAGTGCAAGAAGGCTTTGACTTTTTAATTTGACTTAACATTATTTTATTTATCTGGCATATTGAAGAGACCTTTTTTTTAAGTACATTGGTTGCTTTTGCCCTTTTTGAGCACTTGTGCTTCACTGAGACTTGAGTGTCTGTAGACATTATGTTGACATTGATTGGAATTTTGAGGTGTTCAGTTTTATTTTGATTATAGAAAATAAATGTGATTGCTCTCCTCACAAATCAAATGTTTCTTGTTTTTCACTGGCATTTCTCGTAGATGTTGAGGGCTAATGCATCTTTGAGCTTACATATATTCAAGTACTGTTAAAATCAGATACTCTAAGACTTTTACTCAAGTTGTTTTGTAATTGGGGACTTGTTATAGCACTTTTTTTTTCACAATTTTTTGTTGATTTTGATTGCTTCCATTGTCCTCATTTGTAAGTCGCTTTGGATAAAGCTTCCATTGTTGTAAGTCGCTTTGGATAAAAGCGTCTGCTAAATGTAAATGTAATTGGGGACTTGTAATTTGTAATGGAGTCATTTTTGCTGTAAGGTATCTGTACTTTTACTCAAGTATGGTTTTCAGGCACTCTTTACACCTCTGTATATATGTGACCCTGGACCACAAAACCAGTCATAAGGGTCCAATTTTTGACATTGAGATTTGTACATCATCTGAAAGCTGAATAAATAATCTTTCCATTGATGTATGGTTTGTTAGGATAGGACAATATTTGGCCGAGATGCAACTATTT